CAAGTCCACTCCACTATGCAGCCTAAAGAATGAAGGGATTCTTGGCCACCAATATCCCATATTAGGAAATGTGTATTATTAACTACTATCTCTTCCACAATACTTCCAATTTTCGGAATGTATTTACAAATTCATTTATAGAAATTGGTAAAGAATGGTCCTTTCCCCTGCATTATCCAGCCCAACAATGATAATTTTATGTGCCTGGTGATTAACAGTCTCCATATCCTGGTGAAAAGGATTCCCATTCTCCGGCAGCGGACCCCCCCTCCAGCCACCCGGGCCTCCTGGCTGCTCCAGGCTCAGGCTGAGGAGGAGGAGAGAGACACCGGCGTGTCTCCCCAGCTTGCCGCCAGCCTGCTTCCCGGAAACTGGAGGGAGGCCTTAGCTGAGGCCACCCTGCCGCGCGGGACACCCCCCCCCCGACCCCCCGCTGGCCTGGCTCAGGGACCATCCTCCCCCAGCTCCTCTTGGGCCATAAGCCAGTTTCTTGAAAGTTCAAGCTTCAAAAGCACATTTAAGGACAATGGTCTAGGTAGGTTATGCCAAGGACTCTAGAAATCTTGACTCCAGGAGGGGAATAACAACTGTTTCTCAAAAGTGATTGAAAGATCATGGCTTGGATCAAGTACATATTAGTCATCAAAGTATAAAAAAATATTGAGTGTGTGGGGCAGCAGAGTCTGACCTCTGCAGATTTCACAAGGAAGGAGGAATCTCATCCACAGCACAGACAATTCCTGCAATCCACGATTCTAACAACTGTCACTCTCAAGGCTCTCACTTCTCATCTACCGGGTTTGCTAGTTTGTTGCAAAGGCCACACAGAACTCAAAGACAATACCGACAATGATGGGATTTGTTAGGGAAATGACAGGTTACAACTTAGAATGTAGCTTCCATCAAGGACAGCTTCTTGGGCTTGCTTGCAGGCAGTCATGCTCTGACTCTTGATCTTGCAGCCTTGACCTTTGCTCTGTTAGGCATGTTTACAAAAAAAGACCTTTGTTGTTGTTGTTGTTGGAGTCAGAACCAACTCATAGCTGACCCTCCAACAGGTTTTCAGAGGCTGTTAATTGCGTGAAAGGAGATTTCCCATCCTTCTCTCACAGAGCAACTGGTGGATTCAAACTGCCTGCCTTTATGTTGGCAGGACCACTAGGCCACCAGATCTCCTCAAGCACCTATGCTCTGCCCAGCAACACCACACTACCAATAAGCCTTCACCTTGGCTTGGCTCCATCTCCCTGGCTGGATCCCCTGGTAAGTATTCTAAGGCAATCACTTCTCCAGCAAGTATACGGCTTTCATGTTCCGTGAGCTAGGACCCCATAGCTCTGTGTCAGTCTCTGGTTCTCTGCCACCTCTGGTGCCACTGCTGCTGCCTCCATTGTTGCTACTAAGGCTGTTACATTAACTTGTTTCTCTCCTTCTCTGGTTCTCACAGGAATCTCACATCCAAAGAACATGCTGCATCCTCTGAATTTTCTTTCTCGGTAGTAGTGAGATTTCCCTTTTCTGTATCTGCTCAATTCAAGCCTCGCAGGGTGGCAAAACTGACCAATCATGGTGTTAACTTTCTACAAAACCTTGTTTGCAAAGTCTCACCAGAAATGGGAAAAGTTGAGGGTCAGTGAAAAAGAGGAAGGCTCCCAAAGAGCTGGAATGACTCGGTGACTGCAACAGTGGGCTTGGGCAAGGCAGAGGTCGTGAGGGCCAGGACAGGAGTAGGTAATAAGCTTGAGAAAGACAGAGACAAGTGAAGGATTGGATCTGGCTTTTGTTCATAAGGTCACTATGAGTTGCAGTTAACTCAACAACACTCAACAATACCTGAGAGGTACCACAATCCTTGTTTACATTATTAAAGTATTGGGGAGCAATGGTGTCACTCTGGAGACTAAGGTGCGCCTGATCTGGGCTATAGTTTTTGCAATTACTTGCTATGAATCAGGGAGTTGGACAATGAAGAGGGATGATTGAAGGAGAATTGATGCCTTTGAACTATGGTGCTGGAGAAGAGTGTTAAGTGTCCCATGGACTGCAAAGAAAACAAACAGATTCATCCTAGAGAAGGTTAAACTGGGCTGCTCGTTGGAGGTAAGGATTCTGGGGCTTTGTCTGACATACTTTGGACAAATTGTAAGGAGGGACTGGTCCTTAGAGAGGGACATCATGCTTGGGAGGGTGGAGGAACAGCGCAGGAGAGGAAGACCCTCTATGAGGTGGATTGATTCAGTGACTGGGGTAATTGGATGGGTGTGTCAGAGGCAGTGCAATTGGTACAGGACAGAGCAGAATTTAGGGCTGTTGTACATAGGGTTGCTATGAGTCGCAATGACTCAATGACACATAACAACAACAACAACAACATCCAGTTTCCTTGTTTGTCCACAAACATTTCACAGTGCCTAGTCCTATCCAGCTATGTCTGGATGGAGAGGAGGCCAGGGTAGCTCCCAGAGGCCTTCCAGCTGAGGCCCCTGAAACCGGCGCATCTGGAGGGCCCCCCACGTTAATGCCCATTCATAACGGCCTGTGCACAACAGAATGAAACCCTATGCTCTCCAATGGAGCAGAGAATTGAAGAATGTCCTTTTCAGGAGAACGAAGCCCTCGTCTCTGCTGTCCTCACAATCTTTGTTATGCTTGAACTCATCATTGCAGTCATTTTACCAATTTAGCTCATCGAGAGTCTTCTTCTCCCTTTGCTGACCTTTCCCAAGCATGATATTTCTTTCCAGGCAATAGCTTCTGACCATAGCATAAAAGAATTCTTGCCATCCCTGTTTTTAAGGAGAACTCGCCTCACTTTGTCCAAGACAGATGTGTTTGTTATTTTGGCTGTCCATACGGTCTTCAGTATTCTTCACCAACAATGCAATTCAAAGGCACCAATTCATTTTCACTCTTTGTTACTCCCTCCAGTGAGGAATAAAAGAGGAATAAAGCAGAATTTTATTCAGGCCATGGTCTTTCAAATCACTTGCTGTGCATCTTAGAGCTAGACAATGAATAAGGATGATAGAATAAGAATTTACACCTTTGAACTGTGGTGTTGAAGAAGAGCACTGAACATCCCATGGACAGCTAAGAGAATAGACAGTTATGTCTTGGAGAGGGTGCAGTCTGTGCTCTTTGGAGGCAAGAATGACGAGGCTTTGTCTCACTTACTCTGGGCATGTTGCTAGGAGGGACATGATGTTGGGGGGGGTGGGGGCTGGAGAAGGAGAGAAAGACCCTCAACCAGGTGGATTGACACGGTGACTATGCAATGGGCACTTGTGTGCCAGGAAGTGTGAGGATGGCACAATATAGAATAAGGTTCTCATCTGTTGTTCTTGTAGTCATTACGAGTCATACTAGACTCGACAGCATCGCTGCTCTTTCTTCCCTCCTTGGATTCTCATACTCATTCTGCAATAGTGATCTTACACAGTGTTTGTCTTTGTGAGACTGAGTTAGCTCACTTAGCAAAATGCTCTCCAGTCCCTCCCAAGTCAGGTAATAAATTACAAAATAATTGCTCCTGCATGCTGTGTAGTATTCCATAGTGTGAATGTACCATAATTTCTCAATCCATTGCGTTGTGTTTGGACATCTGGGCTGTTTTCATGTTCTTGTAATGGTGAATAACACTGCTATAAACATTGGTGTTTAATTCTCCATTTGTGCCTCAGTTCTCATTCTCTCAGGGTATATTCTAAGAGGTGGAATAGCTAGATCATACGGAATTTCTATGTTCAGCTTTTTTTAGGGAATGCCAAACTACCTTCCAGAGTGGTTGTACCATTTTATAATCCCACCAGCAATGTATACGAGTTCCTATTTTGCCACTTTCTCTCCAACATTTATTACTTGCAGCCCTGCTAAACTTTGCCACTGCTACTGGAGTAAGATGGTATCTCATTGTGGTTTTGATTTGCATCCCTCTTATTGCCAGTGATTTGGAGCATTTCTTCATGTGTCTGTTTGCCATCCTAATGTCCCCCTCTATTAAAATCTTTCATGTCTCTTGGTAATTTTGTAACTGGATTGTTAGTCTTTTTCTTCTGCAGGCCCAGGAGTATTCAGTAAACTTTCATTATGAGACTCTTGTCTGAGAAGGTATTGCCAAATGTTTCGCTTTTATTTTTAAAATCAGAATAGTGCATATAGAATAACTTCTTACAAGAAACCTTAATTTTCAATATTCTTGCATTCTGATTATTTTTAACCCCTCTGAAAAGAAGAGGGGACTAAGTTTGTAGGACAGGGAAGAGTTAGGGAATTGGCCCGTATGTGTGAAGAAGCACTGGTGGCCCACTTGTAAGGAGCTGCTCTGTCAGCCCGCAGGCAGGCACGCCATGTGAATCCACCAGGTACTCTGTGGGAGAAGGATGGGCAGCTTCCTCCTCTGCGATTTACTGCCTCTGATGTGCTGTTGGAGGGACACCTCTGGGTCGGTTACAACTGGATGGTACACAATAACAGCAAAAACATGGTTTCCAGTGACGTAGTCTGCAGAGAGTTGCCCACAGATCTCAAACCTCTGGTGCTTTGAATCCACCAGAAGCTCCAAAGGAAAGAGACAGGCAGTCGCCTCCCATTGACATTTATAGCCTCGAAAACCCACATAGAACCAACTCAGCATGAAGGCTCATGTTTAACTTTTCCAAGAAAAATACATTTCATTTCTGTTTCACTTGTTTAAGTCAAAGTCTCCCCCCACCCCCAATATTCTTAGACTGAGCATAATTTCCTCCCCTTCTTCTGTGAAGGACTCAAAGCCCACGATAGTCAAGTTGATTTTCACTCACAGTGACTCTCCATTGGGTTCCTCATGAGAAAGGCTTGGAAAACATACGCACCAGCAGAGTGACTTCTGGATTTGAACTGTTGACCTGTTGGTTAACAGCCCAGTCTGTTATACATTATGCAGGCTAGAACACATTGTAGGCTCTGTGAGCCACACTGTCTCCACAGCGGACACCCTGTGCCACTGTTGCACTGAAGCAGCCATGGACAGTATGTGAAAGAATGATCGTCGCTGTGTTCCAACGGAACTTTATGAAAGTTTGATTTTATATCATTTCCACATAGTATCACATAGCATTTAACCTCAGCAGTAATTTCAAAATGTAAAAACTATTCTTGGCCCATAGGCTCTCCAGAAACCAAACAAGGCAGCCGAATTTGGCCCACAGACAGCAGCTGACTCCTGTCCTAATGTCTACATCAAGTCCCTGTCCCCTCCTCACCACACTCACTTACTTTGTCCTCAAATCTTCCTGTCCCTCGACACCCCCACCCATGCCCTTCCAATAGCCCCCTCCGTCTGCCCTTGAGGATCCTCCTCTCCCGGCCCCGGGACTGTTTATTCCTGAACAGGGCTCTCTCAATAGCTCCATTCACCTTAGCAGAAGGAATCCAGAGAAAGGAATTTTGTTCGGAGTCCTTGGACCAGGGTTTGGGGCTCAGATTTACTTTTGGACTCAGACCCCTTCCGCTCCAGCCCAGTGGTCTCACACCACCTCCTTGCTCCCGCTTTGTGGCAGCAGAACTCTTTCCTGTGCAGCTCCTGCCTCAGCTGCAGCCGCACCTCAGCTCCCGGTCGGCCACCATGGGCCCCAGAGCACTCTGCTTCTTGACCTCTTGTCTGCTCATCGGTGTCATTTCAGGTACGGCTTCTCCTTCCCTCCCTGAGACAGTCCTGGCCTCTCCTAGGAGAGCCCTGTTGATGACCGTTAGCTCTTGTTATGTGGCCTTGAGTTCAAAAGGACTCATAACCAACTCTACAGTGGGTTTTCTTTTTACACGAAAGTTTACAGATAGGTTGGATTTTCATTCACTTACTGCTGTACATTGTCCACCCTCCTCTCTGTAACCCTTCCTCCAGTTCACTGTTTTAAAAATATTCATTCACTGTTGCACAATTTCATCCCTCCCCCAGTCCATTTTGCAGTACTCCTCTTATTCTCGACTGTTGTCAAATAGATAATGCATACTCATTTATTGCTTTTAAACAGTGCTTTCCTTCATCTGTCTCAATGCGGTGTTCATTATTTATTCCCTCTTTTCCTAGTATTTATCCAACCCCCATGCCAGTCCTGTTTTATAACAGTATTGTTGCAGTATTTGTCCTTTTTTGACTGAGGTATTTCATTCAGTGTAGTGTCCTCTGGGGTCACCCATGTTGTGTAATGTTTTATGAGCCCACTTCTTTTCAGGGCTGCACAGTATTCCATTGTGTGAATATATTTTAGTTTCTCTATCCATTCATTTGTTAATAGACATTTAGGTTGCCTTCATCTCTTTGTTATTGTAAATAACACAGCAATAAACATGGCTGTGCATATATCTATTTAGGTGGAGACTCTGGTTTCTTTAGAGTATATTCCCAGTAGTGGAATTGCTGGGTCAAATGGTATTTCTATTTCCAACTTTTTGAAAAAGTACCAGACTGCTTTCCCTAGTGTTGCCTCAATTTACATTCCCACCAGCAGCGAATAAGGGTTCCAATCTCTCTACAACCTCACCAGCATTTTTTGTTTGCTGCTCTGTTTACTTTGCTATTGTTGCTGGGGTGAGATGGTGTCTCAATTGTTTTGTCCAGTGGTTTTCCAGAGGCGGTAAGTCACAGGAGAGAAGATTGCCTACCTTTCTTCTGCAAAGCAACTGGTAGATCTGAATTGCCTGTTTTTGGGTTGGCAGTGCAACTCTTTACCACAAAACCATACGTGTTCCCTTATTGATGAGTGTTGTTCTTGTAATGTGCTGCCAAGTTGAAACCCACTCATAGCTGATCCTCTAGCAGGTTTTCAGAAGACAGTAAAAACACACAACAGGAGGCTTTTCTCCAGTGGTTGTTGTTGTTATGTGTCGTTGAGTCGCCTGCAACTCATAGCTACCCTATGTACAACAGCCCTAAACTCCGCTCTGTCCTGTGCCAATCGCACTGTCTCCGACACTCCCATCCCAATTACCCCAGTCACTGAATCAATCCACCTCATAGAGGGCCTTCCTCTCCTGCGCCGTCCCTCCACCCTCCCAAGCATGATGTCCTTCTCCAAGGACTGGTCTCTCCTCGTCCAAAGTATGTTAGACGGAGCCTCAGAATCCTTGCCTCCAAGGAGCCACCCGGTTTAACCCTCTCCAGGACAAATCTGTTTCTCCAGTGGAGCAGCTGTTATATTCGAACCTCCTACCTGTGGGTTGATAGCACCACTCTTTACACACTGGGCCACCAGAGTTGCCACTGTTGAGAGGTAGAGAAAGGGTAATGAGTGCTGGTCTCTTAGGTTAGCTTCTGTACTCTGTGTCTGTCTTTCGCTGTCTGGGTCCCATCTCCTCTCTGGCCTCAGCTTTCTCATCTATACAGACAAAGATGCATTGTGCAATCTTCCAGCCCTTTTTTTATATCTAACATGTCACTGCAATCTTAAAGTCAGAAGCAACAATTTCAAGGCTGCCAGCTTAGGATTCATATCATGGGCCAAATATGTGGGCCTCTGAGTTTGACCAAACAATCCTTGACTCCTGTACTCACTTGCAAGATTTAACAAAGCTAAGATTTAGTTACTCAGGAGTAAATGGAAAATAACAAAATGATAAGATGGCGTCAAAGATTAAATTCTGTAATATATGAATGTTTTGTTAACATTCTAATAAACGAATACTCGCCTCCCTTCACACATCTACTAACCATCCAAGAATGATTCTTAACTTTGCATCAGCAGTTCTTTAACTTTTTAGAATAGTGGGCTCATAGAACATTGGTCCTTTTGTGACTAACTCTACATTCAGCAAGCAGTGTTTTTTAAAGTTCTGAGTTTACCACATCAAGATTATGTTGTTGTTGTTGTTATGTGCCGTCGAGTTGCTTGAGCCCAATAGTGAAAGATCGGCAGCCTCAGCGCTCCATCAGAGGCAGGCCTTGAAGGACTTCCAGCCCTGTGGCCTTGAGAGTTTGGCAGGCAACTTATCCATTAGATCACCAGAACTCCCTCTAGTGGAAGGATTTAGAGAAAACAGTGCTCCACTTTCAGTCAGACCAACTTGTATTTCTTTTTTTTAAACATTGACCTTTCACTATTTCAACAATGTCTGTTATTTAGAAACTACCTGTTGTTGTTGTTGTTATGTGCCGTCGAGTCGTTTGCGGCTCATGGCGACCCTATGTACAATAGCCCTAAACCCTGCTCTATCCTGTGCCAATCTCATCGCCTCTGACACACCCATCCCGGATACCCCAGTCACTGAATCAATCTACCTCATAGAGGGTCTTCCCCTCCTGCGCTGTCCCTCTACTCTACCCAGCATGATGTCCCTCTCCAAAGACCTGTCTTTCCTTGCAACATGTCCAAAGTATGTCAGACGAAGCCCCAGAATCTTTGCCTCCAAGGAGTAGCCTGGTTTAACCCTCTCCAGGATGAATCTGTTTGTTTTCTTGGCAGTCCATGGTACATTCAATACTCTTCTCCAGCACCACAGCTCAAAGGCATCAATTCTCCTTCTATCTTCCCTAGTCATTATTCAACTCTCTGATGCATAACAAGTGATTGCAAAGACCATGGCCTGTATCAGGCGCACCTTAGTCTCCAGAGAGACACCGTTGCTCTTGAGTACTTTAGAGAGGTCCCTAACAGCAGACTTCCCCATCGCAATATGTTTTTTTAATTTCCTGGCTGCTGGTGCCAAGAGTGTTGACTGTGAAGCCGAGCAAACTGAAGCTGTGAACAATCTCAATCTCTTCACCATCCATCCTGATGCTACCAATTGGTCCAGTGGTGACAGAAACTACCTACTAATTGTATTACTTTCACTTGTTTGGCTGGCCCAGCCTCTTCCTTTAAAGATGAAGAAATAGATCCAGAGACAGCAAAATGAACAACACATGACACTTGGTTTCTTCATCTGTTAAGTGGAAGTGTCAGTGAGAGTTTCTTGGGGGTGGTAGGTGTTTGTGAGCATAATGTAATACGTAAGAAAAGGCCTGGAAAGCACTTTGCACAGGATCTAAACCAAAACTGACCTATTGCCAAATCAACTATAACCTTACAGATGGGACAGGCAGGCTTCAGGGTTTCTATGATTGTAATTCCCACTCCCCCGCCCCCCTTTTAATAAGATAGTAATTTTCACAGGAGCGAACTGTACATGCTGCTCTTGCAGAGCGAGCAGTCAGTGAGTTTGAACCACCCGCTTTTCAAGTATGTGACAGACACTTAAGCACTGTGAAGAAAGCCTGGCAGCACAGTGCCTGTGTACCCTATGACCATGATATTAGTAATAGGCTGTAAAATAAAACCATTCAAGAGTTTGCATAGATCACCTGTTGGTTTGGCCACTCGCACGCTCTTGTGCTAGCCTCCAAAGAAGAGCCTTCCTCCAAGGCTTGGCAGCCACTATGACCAGGGGGCAGAGCAACCACTAATTAAGATGTTTATGCAGACACCCAGCTCTCAAGGCCTGCCGTGGGGCCTTGTCAGGATTCCCCAGCACATCCCCAGCTCTGGGAGCCACACACCCAAACAGGAAGGCGTCTAGAATCCAGAGACATCCTTTTGGCAACTGCTCTGACAACAACCTTTTAATTACAAAGATCTAAATCCCGTGGGCGCCCCTGGCCTTGCTCCTGCCCTGCACTCTGAGTAGCTTGATTCTGCTAGGTAGAGGGTCCTTGTCTCTTGAAATCTGGATATTAAAACACTAGTTTTACATTTACATCTAAAAAAATATGGTGGTTGACAGATAAAGTCCCCCAAAGATGTTAAAATCCTAATTCTTAGACTATGTGGATACAATATACATAATTTTAAATATGTTGTTGTTGTTGTTAGGTGCCGTCGAGTGGCTTGCGACTCATAGTGACCCTATGTACAACAGCCCTAAACCGTGCTCTAACCTGTGCCAATCATACTGCCTCTGACACACCCATCCCGATTACCCCAGTCCTTGAATCAATCCACCTCACAGAGGGCCTTCCCCTCCTGCGCTGTCCCTCTACTCTACCCAGCATGATGTCCCTCTCTAAAGACCCGTCTCTCCTTACAACATGTCCAAAGTATGCCAGACAAAGCCCCAGAATCCTTGCCTCCAAGGAGCAGCCTGGTTTAACCCTCTCCAGGATGAATCTGTTTTCTAAATATATGTCACTTTCTTTTGATTCACAGATATTATAGTTTTTACATAGTGAAGATTTGGGATAACCTTGCATTGAGCAATTATATCAATTTTCCAGCATCCTGCAAACCCTTCCCATCTCTGTGTCACAACTTGGTAATTCTTACAATATTTCAAATTCTTTCAGGACACAATTGCACACTTAACAGACTGCTAACACACACCCCTGTCAAGTTGAAACCAACTCAGCAGCCCTCCCTCAGGTTCCTGGGCTGTAAAGCTGCACCGAGGAGACTCCCGATGTCCTTCTCCCTCAGCGCAGTTAGTGGGCTCCAACTGGTGACCTTTCAGTTAGCAGCAAAACACATAACACACACGTCACCATGCTCCTTAATGGACTACAGTCTAGTGTAAACATGACCTTTATGCACACTGGGAAACCAAATTCTTGCTGTAATCCACCTTCTGTCATACTAGCCATGCTGAGAAGGTTGGGAACCGACCCGGCATTATCGCTCAGGTGTGCTTGTCTGTTACATAACATGGAGAGGAGAGCTCAGGGAGCTAATCGATTGACAGTAAAATAGGGGAGATTACCTCGAATTACCTGGGTGGTTCCACTTCATCCCGGGGATCTGTAAAAATGGATGAGGGAAATGGGAAAGCTGGAGAGATGGCAGTGTGAGAAAGACTTGGTCTCATGCTGGGGCTTTGAAGATGGAGAAACGCAGTCATGGGCCCAGGCAGATAGGCAAGCTCAAGAAGCTGGAAAGAGCAGAGCCAGATCTCCTGCCCTCAGAACCTCCAGAGGGAAGGAACACAGCTATCCTGAGACTTCAATGTTAGCCCCAAGAGACCCATTTTGGACTTTGGACCTCCATTTGTATTTAAACCATTAACTATTTGGTAATTCGTTAGCAGCAATTGAAAATAATACACTATTAATAATGACAATTACTATTTAGTAAGTGTTGTACACACTGGACATCGTGCTAAGTGCTTCCTGTTGTTGTTAGGTGCTTTTGAATTGAGTATGACTCATAGCAATCCTATAAACAATAGATTTGAACCCTGTCCTGTCCTGTGCCATCCTCACAATCTCTGACATACTCAAACCCATTGCTGCAGTCATTGTATCAGTTTTTCTGGTTGTGAGTCTGCCTTTCTTTTGTTGATTTTCCACCTTTCCCAGCATGATGTCTCTCTGCAAGGAATAGCCTCTCCTAGCAACATGCCCAAAATATGCTAGAGAAAGCCTTTTGCCACTTTTGTCTCCAAAGGGCACTCTGGCTGCACCCTCTCCAAGACATATCTGTTTGTTCTCTTGGCCTTCCATGGGATGTTCAGTGCTCTTCTCCAACACCACAGCTCAAAAGCATCAGTTCTTCTTCTATCATCCTGATTCATTGTCCAGCTCTTAGATGCACAGCAAGTGACTGAAAAGACTATGACTTGACTTAGGTGCACCTTAGTCCTCAAACTGACATCATTGCTTCTCAGGAATTTGGAGAAGTCCCTGACTACAGACTTTCCCAGTGCAATATGTTTACTGATACTAAGGGTGTTGATTGCGGATCAAAGCAAGATGAAATCATTGACAATTTCAATCTTTTCTCCTCCATCATGATGTTGCTTATTGATCCAGTGGTGAGAATTTTTGTTTTCTTGACATTGAGATGCAATCTATATTGAAGGCTCTATTCTTTAATTTTCTGAGGTAAGAGTTTCAAGTCTTCCTTACTTTCGGAAAGCAAGGTTGTAGCTATCATCTAGACTGTTGAGGAGTATTCTTCTGATCTAGATGTCCCATTCTTCTCCATAGAGTCAAGCTTCTTAAATAATTTTATGCTCTGCATACAGATTGAAGAGATATGTAAAAAGGGGTACAATTCCAACAAAAAATCTTTTATTTTTAAATCATACAGTGTTCCCTTGCTCTGTTTGCATAATGGCTTCCTGTACATTATTTTATTTAATATTAACAATAGTTCTACAAGAAGGTGGTGTCCTTGTTCTAATTTTCTTTCTTTTTTTAAAACTCTTTTCATTATGGTTTAACTTTTTATAAAGTGTAGACAGCAAACTGGCATTCTAGTCAACCAATCATACACATTTTGTTTTATTATATTGATCACAACCCTGACAGTGTACTCTCACTCTTCCCACTTCCTCCCTGTGGTTCTTGTTTCCACGTATCCTTCTAACTTTACCCTCTTGGCCTTCTGAGCTTCATCCCTGGGAAAATACCGCCCTTTTGATCTAGCACAGTCTCTTGATCTAAATAGCGAGACTCTTCCTAGACCTTAGAGACTTCCCTTCTGTTTGGCTGAAAGTTGTGCCACAGGGTCAAAGCATGACCAAGAGCCATACTCTTGGAGATTCTACCAATGTCTGTGAGACAAGCAAGCCTGGCCATTTTTATAATTTTTAATTTTGCTCTACATTTGTTTTCTGATACATCCAGGATCTTCTCTTATGATCTCTCTTGAAACATCAGCAGTGGTAATCTAGTAGCAACTACTTCTTCTTGTTCCCAATTTTCAAACGAAGAAAAGATGACTCAGAAAGGAAATGACTTGACCAACGTCACAGAACTACTTTGCATTGAAACTCAGCATATCAGGCTCTAAAATCCACAGTCCTTGCCCTGCCCCAGGCTCACACCCGTCCCCTGGCGCTGCCTGGATGCCTCCTCAGAGCATCCCTGTTTTTAATAGCAAGCTTCAGTGTTCTAGGTCACACTGTTAACAGGGTGACCCTAGCTAGTCTCTCTGCAGCTTAGATCCTTATACTGTAAAAAGAGAATAACAACACATGCCAGATGCCTTTCTGGGGCCATGCCAAGGGTTGAACCAGAATACGGAAGGAAAATATTTTTGTGAACTGTTACGTGTACATCCTATGTAACAGGTTCAGAACAAGTTTCCCTAAACTACCAAACTCCCCAAACTAACACATCCTTTCTCTCCAAGATCAGAGATGGTCCCAGAATAAAAGACACCACTAGGGGAATCTTGGAGACTTTTAGGGTGTAAAAAATGGAGGATTGAGGTTTGAAGGTGGTGGTTTGCAAAACTTTATTTTCAGGTTTGCAATTTAGTACATGGGATTGTGGCTGTTTTGGAAATTGTATATGCATGTGATAATGATTTAACTAGAAAAACAAGACTTGCTAAATTTCTTTGGCAAGCATTCCATTACTGCTGCTCAAACACTGTACCAGCTCCCTTACCTTGGTTGGCTTCTACTACCTCCACCAATAGTGTTCTTAACCTAGTGTTTTAAAGTGTATCTGAGGCTGGATGTGAGATACACTGGAGGCCAAAGATTAGCCAGATGCAACCACAGTGATCCAAGTCTGAACCAGCTGCTGCAAGAGATCTGCTTCCCAGAAAACTCCAATTGAGTAAGCCCGGAGCTGCTCTATTCTGTAACACAAGGTGTTGTTCTGAGTTGGAATCAACTCAAGGGTAATTGTTGTGGGTTTTTATTGGGCTTACTCTTCCAGAAAAGTGGCAGATGGCACAAGATTGGGCAATGTTTTGCTTTCTTGTATGTGGAATTGCCATAGGTCAGAGACGACTTGGCAACGACTACGAACACTGCTCCAGAAACTCTGCATATTATGTAAGTGTGAGCTCTGGCTAAGGCCAGGCAGTGAGCTCCCCCTACCTAACGAGGCATATCTACTCACTGTCACCAAGTGCTTCCAACTCACGGCGACTCTTCATGGGACTTCCTAGGTTGTCATCTTAAATAGGAGGATACTACTCATATTTCTCTTGAGGAGACATATCTACTCACAGGTTAAATGATCTTTTCTGGAGTCAGGCCTTGGAGGCATTGAAACATCAGTGGAAAGTCTGATAATTCAATATATAAAGTCCCTTCCATAGCCTACCATAATTCTATATCTAAGGAACTATTTCCAATGAAGCAATGAATTCAAAGTTGCATGCACAGAAGAAATAGTTTCTTTTAGCCAAGGATGTGAAACAATTCAAATACAAATAACAAAAAACAAGTCAACCAATCAGACAATTTGATGAGTGGAAGGAGGAGAGGGTAAAAGAAATGGAAAGGATCCAGTGTAAAAAACAATGTATGTGAACTTTTAAGTAAACTAGTATATAATAAAAATTTTACTAAAAAGGTCATGTTACATCTCTACCATGAAATATGTAAAAGGTACTAAACATGTTGATACAAATGTTTTTGTTAACATGACATATCACAACATTGTTTTTGTTGATTGCTTTCTAGTAGAGCATGACTCATAGCGACCCTATGAACAAAAGGCCTGAAGCTCCTCTACAACTATCGACATTTATCAAAGTTCATAGAGATTCCGGAGGCATGTTGTTTAGGAGATGGATGCCACTCCTGCATATTACTACATGGAAAAATGCAAATTTTAAAACAAAATATATTTAATTATTCCATTTTAGAAATAAAATACTTATTTAAAATATTTGCATAGGGAAAAAACCCTTTGGAAGAACATGTTTCAAAAATAAGTAGTGCTTATCTCTGTTGTTGTTGTTTGGTGTTGTTGAGTTGACACTGAATGAGTTGAAACTTAAAAGGACTCTATGAACAACAGAGCAAAACCTTGCCTGCACCATCTTCAAGATCATCACCACGTTCAAGTTCATTGTTATAGTCACGGTGTCAATTGATCTCATTCAAGATCTTCCTCTCTTTGGCTGATTCTTTACTTTTCCCAGCATGATATCTTTTTCCAAGAGTTGGGACATGCCCAAAGTATGTGAGATGAAGTTTAATCATCTTTGCCTCTAAGGAGCAACCTATTTGCACTTCCTCCAAGATGTTGTTGTTGTTGTTAAGTGCCCTCGAGTCACAGGTGACTCATAGACGCTTGAGTGCCTTTCATCCTCTCTCCTTTAGGATAGACTTGTTTATTCTCTGCGAGTTCTCAGTAGAGTCAGTACTCTTCTCCAACACCGTAATTCAAAATTAAAAATCTGTTTAACTCTAGACACTGTGATTTAGAGTGATTTTAATCCCATACCTGATTTTTCTGTTTCAGAATTATTCTTTAGTGAATGGGAGTTACATGGTAATAATAAACCGAAAAGGGCAGAACCTGATGTGAACAGTGAATAGTGAAGGCTGGTAATCCCAAGTCCATGTTGTTTTCTCTGCAGCTGAAATCCAAGAGTGTGATAGAAAGCTGAACGCTCAGAAGAAGAGGGGTCTCAAGCCAGCCTGTCCTGGTGAGGTGAAAGCCTCCGGAACTTCAGGCCTGAGAAAGCCCAAACTGGACAGGAGCCAGAAGCCCCTACAGATGAAGAGCCCTGTGCATGCTGCAGCCTCTGGAACCCCAAGTCCCTCACCCGCTTCCATCCTGACCCAGGTGCTGGGGAGGGGCAGATTTCAGAAAGTGGGGGACTCTCTGAGCCTACGGGCTGGGGAACCCCTGGAGCTGCGCTGCCAAGGGAAGATGGTCCGCTGGAGGGTACCTGTGTACTTGGAGGAGGAGGGTGAGGGACGGCTGAGGTATGGAGCAGAGGAACTGAGGGGTGGTCTCTTGGGTGGGCCCACGGGCCTGTGGAAGAGCCAGAGGTTAGGAAGCAGTTCACTTATTAGATAGCTAAAAGGGGCTCTGGTGGTGCAGTCTGTAATGTGTTGGACTACTAATAAAAAGTCAATGGTTTGAATCCACCAGCTGTTCCAAGAAAGGAAGTCAGGCAGTTGCCTCCTGTGAAGATTTACAGCTTCATAAAATCAATGGAGGGTCACGGTGAATTGGAATCGACAGACTCTGTGTGTGTGTGTGGTGTGTGGTTAAAGTGAATAGAACCCACATGAGGCAGTATCCTACAGACAGGAACTTGAAACAGTAAGATGAGCTCACAATATCCATCAGAAGCACCGTGGCTTAAGAGAATGTTAGCAGTCTTCCCTCAACACCTCAGTTCTTGTGGGCAGCACAGTGCCTACAGGAGAAAGAGGTAATGATGGTGGGATGAAAGAGGTGGGCTGTTCATTCTTCAGTCCTTAGATGCTGCACTTCTGCCTGAAATACAGGCAAAGTCAACTCCATTAGCACCATCCAACTCAGTCCAGAATAAACTCAGGAGCAGGAGTAGGGGTTAGGGCCTCAGAAGATAAATCTGCCCTTGTTCAATTCCTTCTCCTAGGCTGTGATTTCCTGGGATGTTGTCCTTTTTGGAAAAGAGTGGAGCATAGCATGTATTTGCTAGCGTGAACAAATGGACATGAGGAAGGCTGAAGAGAGCACAGGAATTTGAGAGAGAAGCTCCAGCGTGCAGGAGCCAAAGGGCTAAAGGGGAACCGCGCACCAGTTAGGTGTGCCGGGAACCAGTGGGCTTAAGTAAAAATCTGTTGCGGTTGAGTTGATTCCAAGTAGGAAGCCTGAAGAACAGAATCAACTGCCTCAGAGGATTTCCAAAGTTTTCAGTCTCTATGACAGCAAATGGCCACATCACCAGTGGCTGGTGGGTTTGAATCAAAGACCTTCTGGTTAATAGATAAGCACTTTAACTACTGTGTCACCAGGGTACCTCCAGGGTTGGTGTTTGTTTTGTTTTTTAAAATTTTATTATTTTTTGTGTGTGCACCATCAAATCAGATCTGACTGGTACAGGAGGAGATTGTCCCTCCTTCTCCAGCACAGCATCTGGTGGATTCGAACTGTGCACCTCTGGGATTATAGTGTGATGTTTTTATAATTTTTTTTATTGGGAAAAACATATTGGGGGTACAAGGAGGTGAGGATGGGCCAGGATGCAGTTGCAGAGCTGCAGTTTG